AACAAAAAAAAATAGCAAGGAGTTGTGTCGGGCACTTGTGGTCCCAGCTACTTGAGAAGCTGAGTCAAGAGAATTGCTTAAGCCCAAGAGTTAGAGGTTGCTGTGAGCTATGATAGCACAGCACTCTACCAAGGGTGACATAGTAAGACTCTGTCTCAAAGAAAAATAAAGAAATTTAACATGTGAGAAGTTCTGTTTTTCTTTAACATTAAACAATGTGACTTCCAAAACTTATTTTCCTACTCTTTTCATTTGAAATTATCTATAAGTGAGATTATTAGTGTTTTTCCATTCTATTCTGTCATGTAACTGTATAGAGAGCAACCTACTAAAAAATTAATAAGTATTTTGGATTTTCCAAGATGTAGAATAATGCCATGTTTCTCCTACAATGGCAAATGAAGTTATTTAATTATTTTGAGAAATTGAATAGCCATAGATAGACGTACAGGTCTCTGTAATCTTTCTAAGATTTCTTTGAGGATATGTGAAGGGTCAATGACATTTTAAGCTTTGAGAGTCCTAAGGTAGTATAATTCTGGGTTTTTAGCCCTCATGAAATGCTTTTTTTTTTTTTGAGGCAGAGTCTCACTCAGTTGCCCTGGGATCATTGCTCACAGCAACCTGAAACTCTTGGGCTCAATAGATCCTCTACTTCAGCCTCCCATGTAGCTGGGACTGCAGGCACCTGCCACAATGCCCAGCTATTTTTTTAGAGACAGGGTCTCACTCTTTCTTAGGCTGGTCTCAAACTCCTGATCTCAAGCAGTCCACCCAGCTTGGCCTCCCAGAATGCTAGGATTACAGGCGTGTTACTGTTAATTTTTAAATCTTCTTGTTTCAGAACAAGAAAATTCATAGGCCATCAAATTTGCTTCTAATTTACTTAATTCCTTCCAAATAATGTTTTGTGAACCAAATATGATTTAATTTGCTTCTTCTATTTAGTTTTATTTTATTTTATTTTATTTTATTTTTGAGATAGCAGGCTGAGGAGAGTACTATTATTTTGTTACCCTTGATAGAGTACATGCTAAAGTCTGAGAAGCATTAAAAACTTAGTTTCTGGCTCAGCACCTGTGGCTCAAGTGGCTAGGGCGCCAGCCACATACACCTAAGGTGGCGGGTTCAAATCCAGCCTGGGCCCGACAACAAAAAAATAGCTGGGCGTTGTGGCAGGCACCTGTGGTCCCAGCTACTTGGGAGGCTGAGGCAGGAGACTCACTTGAGCCCAGGAGTTGGAGATTGCTGTGAGCTGTGATGCCACAGCACTCTACCCAGGGTGACAGCTTGAGGCTCTGTCTCAAAAAAAAAAAAACTTAGTTTCTAAGTATTCTGCCTGTTTTGTTCAAGTATATAAGAATTGTGAGCAGGGTGGCACCTGTGGCTCAGTGGGTAGGGTGCTGGCCCCATATGCCGAGGATGGTGAGTTCGAACCTGGCCCCAGCCAAAGTGCAACAACAAAAAAAATAGCTAGGCATTATAGCAGGTGCCTGTAGTCCCAGCTACTCGGAAGGCTGAGGCAAGAGAATCATCTAAGCCCAAGAGCTAGAGGTTGCTGTGAGCTGTGACATCATTGCACTCAACCGAGAGCAATAAAGTGAGACTCTGCCTCTTAAAAAAAAAGAATTGTGATCATTAAATTGGGCATAACTATAGTCCCAGGTACTTGGGAGTCTGAGGCAGGAGGATCACTTGAGCCCAGGAATTTGAGTTCAGCCTGAGCAATATAGCCAAATCCATCTCTTTAAAAAAAAAAAAAAATTTTTTTTAACATTTATATACTTAAGTGATCAGAATAATACTAGCATGTAATAGAACTCAATAAATGTTAACTATCACTGTTGTTACCATTCTCTTAAACTCTCAAACCCTTTGTTATGAATTGCTTCAGCTTCGCCTTTGGTTGCTGTTTTTGTTGTTGTTGCTTTTTGAGACAGAGCCTCAAGCTGTCCCCCTGGGTAGAGTGCTGTGGCATCACAGCTCATAGCAACCTCTAACTCCTGGGCTCAAGCAAGTCTTCTGCCTCTGCCTCAAGTAGCTGGGAGGACCACAGGCGCCCGCCGCAACGCCTGGCTATTTTTTTGGTTGCAGCCGTCCTTGTTTGGCGGGCCTGGGCTGGATTTGAACCTACCACCTTAGATGTATGTGGCTCACACCTTAGCTGCTTGAGTCACAGGCGCCGAGCCTGGCTGCTGTTTCTGATATTATCTGTTACTTCAAATCTTAGTTCCTGGAACTCTATTTACCTTTCTCTTTTGCTTTTCAACCCTTCAATACTGTATATGCCTTTTTCCTTTATTGCTCGAGCCTTATGGCACTCTCTGCAGCCTGCTTTCTCTTTCTGCAGAATCATAAACTGAAAGGGCTCTTAGGGATCAAATCTAAATCTTTTCTTTTGGTTTTGAGGAAACCAAAGCCCTGAGAAGTTCAGGTATCATGTTTCTATGTTTGGCATGTACTCACTACACATCTTCAGCAGATGTCCCAGAAAGATCAAAAAAGGCTGGAGTAGGAAAGACTTAGTGTGTATGTTGTCTTAGGCATAGAAATCCAACAGGAACAAAATATGAGGCAAGTTTTATTTCTTCTAGAATTTAAAAAAAAGAAATGGGTGGCACCTGTGGCTCAGTAAGGGGGTGCTGGCCCCATATGCCGAGGGTGGTGGGTTCAAACCCAGCCCTGGCCAAACTACAACAACGACAAAAATGGTTGGGTGTTGTGGCAGGTGCCTGTTGTCCCAGCTACTTGGGAGGCTAAGGCAAGAGAATATCCTAAGCCCAGGAGTTGGAGGTTGCTGTGAGCTGTGATGCTATGACACTCTACTGAGGGCGATAAAGTGAGACTCTGTCTCTTTTTAAAAAAAAAAAAAGTTTTATTACTTTTTATGAAAAATACTATTTTATAGGCTCGGCACATGTAGTTCAAGCGTCCAGGGCGCAAGTCACATACACCGGAGCTGGCGGGTTCAAATCCATCCAAGGCCTGCCAAATAATGACATCTACAACCAAAAAATAGCTGGGCGTTGTGGCGAGCACCTATAGTCCTAGCTGCTTAGGAGGCAAGAGGATCACTTAAGCCCAAGAGTTTGAGGTTACTATGAGTTGTGATGCCATAGCACTCTACCCAGGGTGACAGCTTGCGACTGTCTCAACAAAAAAAAATACTATTTTGTAGGTTGGTAGAAAGACAGTAGTTTTGAGTGAATGTAGTTGTTTTGTTTGAGGTAGTCTCCCTGTGTCAGTGACATCACTATAGCTCACTGCAACTTCAAACTCCTAGGAACTCCTGGGCTCAAACAATTCTCCTGACTTAGCCTCCTAAGTAGGTGAGACTACAGGTGCACACTACCCTCCCACCTAATTTTTGTAGAGACAGGGTTTCGCTCTTGCTCAGGCTGCTGTCAAACTCCAAGCCTCAAGCAATCATCCAGCTTTAGCTTCGAGAGGAATGCAGTTTTTATTTTATTTCATGAGCCAACTGAAAGTTGGCTTTGAAGATGGCATTTTAAATCTTATTTAAAAGAGGTGGCTTGGCTCAGCACCTGTGGCTCAAGCAGCTAAGGCCCCAGCCACATAAACCTGAGCTGGTGGGTTCGAATCCAGCCAAGGCCCGCCAAAAATGATGGCTGCAACCAAAAAAAAAAAAAAAAAATAGCTGGGCATTGTGGCGAGCACCTGTAAGAGCCAGCTACTTGGGAGGCAGAGGCAGGAGAATTGCTTGAGCCCAGGAGATGGAGGTTGCTGTGAGCTGTGATGCCACAGCACTCTACCCAGGGCGACAGCTTGAGGCTCTGTCTCCCAAAAAAGATGTGGCTTGTTTTTGAGAGCAGTGTATTTAAGAAATATCACTTCTGCCCTTTAGTATCTTAGTTGGAACCAACCAGAAATCCTGAAAGCAATCAATCAATAAAGAGTCCAGAATAGCCCCAGGTACTAATTAATGCTTGATTTATGTATAGCAAAGTTTTTCGGGCCTGTGCTTGGAGTTTAAGCTACTTTTAGACTCTTTCAAAAAAGATTTTAATTTTTTACTTACAAGACTTTAGGAGATTAGAAGCCAGCAGTCTAGCGTGCCGATGGTTGTAAAAACCAGTAAGCATTTTCAGATGTCCATGCGTCTGTTGATGTAGTTTCTTCTACCTCCCTTTCTATCTGGCCAATGTCTTTCATTCTGTCTTAAATGTGTCCCTCAAATATCTTTACCTTCATCTTCACATTCTCAAGGCCTAAAACTTCCTGGCAAACAGTGAATCCTAAAAGAATTTTAGTCATATGAAGTAGAAGAATAGCCCTGCAGATAGAGCTATATGTTACACCAATAAAATGACTGATGCTGTAATAATGAAATGAACCCATTCTTTTTAGTACTGTTTAAAATGGTGGGCTGGGTGCTTGTAGGGCAGTGGTTAGGATGCCAGCCACATGCCCTGGAGCTGGTGGGTTCAAACCCAGCTTGGGTCTGCTTTAAAAAAAAAAAAACTAGCTGGGCGTTGTGGTGGGTGCCTGTAGTCACAGCTACTAGAGAGAATGAGGCAAGAGAATCACTTGAGCCCAAGAATTTGAAGTTACTGTGAGCCATGATGCCACAGCACTCTATTGAGGGTGACAAAGTAAAACTCAGTCTCAAATAAAATAAAATGATGGAAAGTCCATAATACACTAAAAATTTGAAAATGTTGAAGTGTTTAAATAGTATTAATTTTAAGGGTAGTTCATCTTAAAAACTATTTTCCAAGATTGACATTCTGAGGGTTCTAGGTAGCCAAGTATTTTGGTATTTCCAATAGTGGTAGTTCTCAAACTTTCTAGTCTCAGGATCCCTTTGCCCTGTTGGAAATATTGAAGACAGGGCGCACCTGTGGCTCAGTGAGTAGGGCACCGGCCCCATATACCAAAGGTAGCAGGTTCAAACCCGGCCCCAGCCAAACTGCAACAAAAAATAGCTGGACATTGTGGCCAGCTTTTACAGTCCCAGCTATTTGGGAGACTGAGGCAAGAGAATCACCTAAGTCCGGGAGTTATAGGTTGCTGTGAGCTGTGTGTGATACCTAATGTGACGCCACGGCACTTTACCGAGAGAGATAAAGTGAGACTTTTGTCTCTAAAAAAATAAGAAGAAAAAAAGAAAATCTGGCCATACAAATATGTGATTGGAAATGTTAGAAGTGTTTTTATTAATAGCCTTTTAGATAATTGTGAATGTTCTTCTTTGATACTACACCAAAAATCAAGTTGTAGTTTCTTTTCTTTTTTTCTTTTTTTCTTTTTTCTTTTTTTTTTTTTGAGACAAAGCCTCAAGCTGCCCTGGGTAGAGTACTGTGGCATCACAGCTCACAACCTCCAACTCCTGGGCTCAAGCAATTCTCCTGCCTCCACCTCCCAACTAGCTGGGACTACAGGCTATTTTTGTTTGCAGCAGTCATTATTGTTTGTCAGGCCTGGGCTGGATTTGGACCCACCAGCTCAGGTGTATGTGGTTGGTGCCTTAGCCACTTGAGCCACAGGCTCCAAGCCTTAAGTTGTAGT